AAACCATTTCAGGTGACTACCTCTTGAAGCTCATGGAGAGAATGCCAAGAGTGTGCAAAGCAGTAATCAGAGCAAAGGGTGGCTATTTTGAAGAAACTAGAATATAAAACATGTTTTCAGTTATTTCACCTTTTTTTGTTAAGTACATAACTCCACATGTGTTCATTCATAGTTTTGATGCCTTCAGTGAGAATCTACAATGTAAATAGTCATGAAAATAAAGAAAACGCATTGAATGAGAAGGTGTGTCCAAACTTTTGGCCTGTACTGTATGTTGATAGTGAGATTCAGCATTGTGACTAGGGGTAAGTAAAAATATTGATTCATGCATAATATATGTTTTTACCCGATATCAATATCAATTCGGATCACTGTTACCAACCCAACTGCAGACCGACTGCTGGTACTGAAGTTAAGCCCCTTCCGAGTATGCTGTCATTGTTATTATTATAGTTTACCCTGGGAAGCACATACGGACAGATGTGGTGAAGTTATCAGTGTATATTCATGTAACTGATAACATTAGAGAATACATTAACCAAGACATTCTTGTATTTAGTGTAGATATCTAAATATGCATTATAAAGCAGTGATCAGTTTCACATGACGTGAAATTGCATTAAAAAATCATCAATGTACAGGTCGCCGCCATGGAGCACTTTTATGTCCCTACCAATGTGAAAATCAAACCTACGCCCTTGGCACAGTAGATATTGATGGTTTGAAAGAGGGAGGGAGACGTAGCAAGAATAAAATGGAGTGTGGGGAGTGAATGATGTAATGGAAGAGATGATGATCAGGAGTGAGAGAAAAAAAAAAGTTGAGGGGAGGAAGTGCATAGAGAGAGACAAGAGGAGGAGACAGAGGGAGGGCAACAAGATAGATGATGGAAATGAAGAGGTTAAGAGATAAATATCTCATCTCAAGAAAAGGTCATCTGAGAGCTTCTTGACCCCAGCAGCTCTCTGTTCAGCTCCACAATCACTTCCTCTGATGATGGTGGAAACACTGGAAGCAGCTGACCTCTGTATCTCTCCCCTCAACACCTCCTGCAGGCCAATGCCTGTTACTCCCCAGGCCATATTCATCAGAACACTGCTGTGCTGCCTCACTCTTCTCACTGTGACGCTCAATTTATTGGTTATCATCTCAATCTCCAACTTCAGGCACAGACATTTTTTTCTCATAATATAACAGCTGTTACTGTGTATGAGTTGAATTCATGGATAGATTCTGTGTTTATTAGATATTGTATGCTAAAAAATATGTCAGTACTTTCACTTGTTCAGTATGCTTTTCTGCTTGAATTCGTCACTATAACAGTAATCATGATGAACAATTTCTTAATAATACCATCAAACTCCTTTAGTAGTTAGTTTGGATAATGTGGATCTGATTGATTTTTTTTTTTTGTCATTTACTTTTTATTGAGTTTTCATTTAAGGTAATCATACAAATGAAAAGAGACACACCCTAACAAGGAGGGGGAGAAAACAATAAACTAAACAACTGGGGAGGATCTGGAAGGTCTGTGTTTTGTATATCTGGCATTGTACTTGAACATTCATGTGCACTTATATCTTTTGTTTCTTAGAATAGAATTAATAGTTGGCACTTCCGTTTTCAGCCACTTTTTAGTCAAGGCATTTTTACAAGCAACCAATAACACTCTAATCAGATAGTTATCTGGCTTTGCCCAGCGAAGCTCTTCTAGATCACCAAGGTACATGGTTTTGAAATTGAGTTTGACCTTCTTCTTAAAGACTGCTTCCAGGACACTGTGGACAGCTCTCCAAAATGGAGCCACAGAGGGGCAATTCCAGAAAATATGAAAGTGGTTAGCTACTACATTGCCACATGATCTCCAGCAAGCTATCTGATTGGAATAGCCAGTCTTTTGCGCTGGAGTAGAGAAGAATCGAGACATGTTCTTCCAACTAAATTCTCTCCAGAAGAGAGAACTTGTCGTTTGCCATTGCTGTTTGCAGATCCTGTTCCATTCTTCCTGTGTTATTGTAATATTGCCCTCTGCTTCCCATCTTGTTTTGACAGCCAAAGTGTTGTCTACTTTAAGATTTTGTAAAGCTACATATAATTTAGATATTATTTTTTGATATTTGGCATCTCTATAGGCCTTTTGAAAAATGTCAAGTATTTTATGTCCCATTTTAATTTGGTTATCCTTTAGAAATTTCTTTCCAATAAAGTCTCTGATTTGTAGATATCTGAAATGGTCCTGATTTTGAAGCTTGGATCTGATTGATTTTATAGAGATTTATTTTGCATGTGGGCTATAAATATAATTTGTCTTTATTCTCACAATTATCAGTTTGATCGAAACTAATTTTCACTGAGTTTGAGGCTCTCATCATAATTTCCCTCTCCAGGCAGCTCCACACTCCCACCAATCTCATCCTCCTCTCTCTGGCTGTGTCTGACTTGTTTGTGAGCCTTGCAGTGATGCCACTTGCAATCATCAGCCTGCAGTCCTGTGGGTTTCTGGGTAAAATCACATGTGCTTTTTTGTACCTGTTGGGCTTCATCCTTACCTCTGCTTCTGTTGGGAACATGGTGCTCATATCAGTGGACCGTTATGTGGCTATTTGTGACCCTCTGCGCTATTCTTCCATGATAACACTAATCAGAGTTCAAATCTGTGTGTTTCTGTGTTGGTTATGTGCTGTTATCTACAACCTTATAATTCTTAAAGATCACTTTTCACAAATAGATTTGTCTAACTCCTGTGCTCAAGAATGTGTAGTTGTTATAAATTACATTTCAGGGCCAGTAGACTTGCTTCTGACCTTTGTTGGCCCTGTTACTGTGATCATAGTTCTCTATATGAGAGTGTTTGTGGTGGCTGTGTCACAAGCACGTATCATGCGGTCTCAAATTTCAACTACTAAATCAAATACTGTGGCTGTTAAGAAATCTGAGATGAGGGCTGCTAGAACTCTAGGTATTACTCTTCTTGTGTTTATACTTTGTCTCTGTCCATATTACATTCATTCTCTAGCAGGACAGGACACCACAGGTAGTGTAACTTCATCAGCTCAGAATTGGCTGTTCTATTGTAACTCCATGTTTAATCCTCTGATCTATGCCTTTTTTTACCCCTGGTTTAGAAAAGCGGTTAAATTCATTGTCAGCCTTCAGATACTGCAGGAAGGTTCCCGTGAGGCCAAGATCATGTAGAGAGAATATGGAGTTTTTTTTCCTATCTTTATTCAAGAGAGTGGTATATCAATTTGAGAGCATTATTTATTGATTTCACGTTCAGATATTGTGATATTGTCCCTCAAAACCCTGCCCTCGCACTCAAATAGCCTCTGTTTGCACGTAGATCTACTCTGTTTCTGCTCAAACTGTGTGCTCGCACTCAGATACAATGTTGCTTGCACAGATTTCCTGCTCCAGCTTCAGCTCTTCTCCTCGCGCTCAAGCTGCTTCTGTGCGCTTGTGGAATTTCTACTCTCAGATTTCTGCCTTGCGCTTGGATTTTTTTGTGTAACAACCCTGTCAAAATCCCCCAACCAATAGAACGCCAGGTTTATTGTTGACCAATGAAATGATCCCTGCCTCCTTGCGGGCGCGCTCGCTTTGGTTTTAAAGCATCCTGTCCAGGCGGGTACTCTTTAACCATGGTCATCCACTCCCGCCCTCCAGGGCTTTATGAAATGTTCTTCCCTTGCTTTCTTTACGACTTTTGGAATAAAGGGACTGTTAATTTACACATGTGCGCCCATATTTTTTACTATAATAGCTGCATAGAATATATACACATATACATACACACAGTGGAAACCGCTTATAGCGATCACTTCTGTCCGGGTCAAATTGATTGCATAGAAGAGCGGACAAAGAGAGAAAAAGGGAAAAAAATGGAAGCAGAGGGTTACCAGGACATGAAGCAGGGAGACCATGGAGTTCTAGAGTTTTTGTGACCCTCTGACCACAGAGGAAAAATGCCTATGTTGTATAGAGTGGTTTGTGTTTGTGCATTTCTGACCTGTGCCAACAAAATGAGGAGGTACACTGAATTCAATTTTATCTATAAAGCCGAAAACCACAATTCACAATTTGCCTCAGAGGGCTTTACAGCATATAACATCCCTCTATCCTTTGGACCCTCACAGCAGATAAGGAAAAACTCCCCCCAAAAAACCCTTTAATGGGGGAAAAATGGTAGAAACCTCAGGAAGAGCAAAACTCCTGTCCATACACTGCACATGAAGACCTGCAGGTCTGCGGTGACCATAGGAATGACTTACACCTGTCAAAGAGAAGAAATCTGGAGCTTATTTTCCTAAAGAAAACTGCTGTTCCAAGAGTGGATTTACCTGCTGCAGACGAGTGGAGGCAAGGTAATGCTATTAGCTTAAGTTACTATGTTGACATTGCATAATGTTACACATGAAAGCACAGCAGGAGAACAGCATAGCAATCAATTAATAAACAATTAGGAAGCCGCAAAATATCAACTGATTCAGCACTGATTACAACAAATCTATCATATAGACTGGTTACCCATCAGCTGGCATTCAAGTGATATCAATAAGCTGACACTATCTGTGCCACAGTGTGTGTGCGTGGTGGAAAAATATATTTATGCTTCAGTATTATACAACCCGTTATTTATTTTTATTAAATTTTATGCGAACATTTGCCCTTTCTATACATCAAGATACTGTGATGATCCATCCATGTGTTCTCTGTCTTTGTTTACCCAGAGACTGGGTGGGTCATCAGCAGAGTTGGGTAAGGGTTACTTTAAAAGTAATCAAAGTACTTTACTGCGTTACTTTTTTTTTTAAAGTAACCAGTTACTTTACTGCGTTACTCCCTGAGTAAAGTAACTCAAGTAGGCCTACTTTTAAAGTACTTCCAGCATTACTCCATGAGAAAAGTAACTCAAGCACTTTTAAAGTACTTTTGAGTATTCTACATTTCCTATTGGGCAATGGACCACAGGGCGCTAAGCCTACATTTTTCCAAAATTAAAGTTATGGACCATTTGCCCTTCACTGAGATCCAATTCTCCCGTCACAGCCGTCACTTTGACCAGTAGAAACACAGAACTATCTGCTGCCATAGACAACTGTATGACAACAACACCCCAGCGTTTTTTAAAGATAATTTTTTTGGGTGTTTTGCCTATAATGGACAGGATAGTGTGTGAAATGCAGGAGAGAGAGAGTGGGGGGGACGACATGCAGCAAAGGGTTGCAAGCTGGAGTCGAACTCGCGACCGCTGCAGCGAGGCATCACCTCTATACATTGGGCGCCGGCACTATCCACTACGCTACCGATGCCCCACCCCAGTGTTTTTAATATTTCCTCTAGGCATGTTACCACACAGAGTAAAAGGGGGAAATCAAGCTAGCAAACAATATTATTTCTTCATAACGGAGACGGACATAAAGTAATAACATTACAAATAGTGGCGGGGAATTTTACTCACCACAACTACAGAGGCTACCAGCTTCATGTGAAACAGACTACATTATAGATGGTCCGTTATTTATTATTCCCTCTGTGTTTTTATAGCCTGGACACTCCTGCGCTCTCCGCGTCGGTTAAACATTGACTCCACTCGTCTGTTCCCGTCAGTACTCGTTTTTTCACTTCAACAGGTCATTTTAAACATGGGTAAGTCCATATTTTCATTGTTTTTTATAACGTAATAAGTTAATAACAATTTGTCATTGCATGTCCATGTATTGAGCGTGTTGGATAAACACTGAATGAATAGGGCATATTGTTCTGACCATTTTATTTATGTAGTTATTTCTGTAGGTTCAGTGACACAAAATTAAAATTGTAATGAAATGATTAGGGTATTGAAAAATGTGTTTGGTTATGCACTGTTGTGTTATTTTAAATTATAAACACGGTATTTTCTCCTCACATTCCTCAGTGCGTGCTGTTGTAGAGAGAAGGAGAGTCCTTGCTCTCTACTTGTTGCAGCGGCGGCTCTGATGACGGAGAAGGTGAATGTGGGTCCACCCAATCAACCAAAAAAGGAAGGATCATGGTGTTTTTCATCACCTTGTGTCCGAACTACGCCTGGACAGTGGTCGCCATGTCGAGTATTTCAGGATGGAGGTCGAAAAAACAGAACAAATATTTATAGACGGACAAGCAACATCATAATTAAACAGGCTTTTATTTTTTAAATTTATTTTATTTTGAAAATTGGCTGAATTCTCTCATCTTTTCTGTGTCCGACTTCCTGTTTGGTACGATCTGCTCTATCCAGCTTCACAGAAGCGCTCGCGGCTCGTGTGAAAAATAGACCAGACGCCGAACTGAAGCGCTGCAGTGCGCGAGTCTCCACGGGCGCTTCACTCTGCTCAGCGGCCTGTGTGGACAGTCAGATAGGTTAACACGGGTGCTGATTGAAAACTGCCTCCGCTGCTGGGCGCTGCGCTTCGGTTCCGCGTCCAGTGTGTCCACGGCGTTCCTTTTCATCCACTCCCGTTGTCTTTATAAAGTTAACACATCGCACCGTCATTTCAAACTCAACACTTCCTAAATTTCTTTCAGATTAAAAGCCCCTTATAACCTCAGCTGAGAGAATCCCTACATTTTCTAAATAGGATTTTATTGTGAAACATTTGTATGAACTTGGTTGTGAAGGATACAGTAGTTTGAATGTTTACGTACGGCACTTCAAATGTAGCTCCTGTCATCTGCTGACGCTTTTAGGTGACTGCAACAACATTTTGGCTGGCACGTGAACAGACACAGTGACTCAGATGATAGTAAAAATAATAAAAATAGGACAAGAATAACCTGATGACATCACATACGCCGTGAAAGACGACCGGGGATAATTGGTGAGTACCATCGTGTAGTGTGTCATGTCTGTCGGCCAAGTCACGGCACGATTTTATGACTCCGCAATTGTGTAATGTGACATAGTGACTTTTAGAACGGGCAGAAAAGTTGTGTAGTGTGTACCAGGCATAATGCAAGTCCTCCTGAGTCTGACCTGTCTGTCAGCGAGTTTTCCTCCGCCTTTTTTTAGATTCCACCATAGACAATGGCAGCAATTCTTCTTCCACGTAGCTAGCCACAAGCTTCATGGCTTCTTTCGGACTGATAGGTTTAATTTTATCTCCATTATTAGAACCAAAAGACAGTCGTTGCTGTTTCGGAGCTGAAGGACCAGCGTTCTAAATGTAACGGAAGTAACTGATGGCTTGTTTTAAAATGTAGTCAAGTATTTGATTACTCAAACAGCAAATGTAGTAACTAACGCGTTAGGTTACTCGTTACTGCAAAAAGTAATCAATGTACTCAGGACCAACTGCCTTTCCACTCTTCATCCTCTTCAATGCCCTCCTCACTTCATTCTTAATAATCTTTGCTACTTCCTGCTCCACAGTGGTCACTTCTTCTACTCTTTGTTCTCTTTCATTTTCCTCATTCATCAACTCTTCAAAGTACTCTTTCCATCTTCCCATCATACTTGTGGCACCTGTCAATACATTCCCATCTCTATCCTTAATCACCATAACCTGCTGCACGTCCTTCCCATCTCTATCTCTCTGCCTAGCCAACCTGTATAAATCAGTCTCTCCCTCTTTACTGTCCAACCTATCATACAAGTCATCATATGCCCTTTGTTTGGCCTTCGCCACCTCTACTTTCATCTTACACTGAATCTCCCTGTACTTCTGTTTACTCTCTTCAGTCCTTTCAGTGTCCCACTTCTTCTTAGCTAACCTCTTTCTCTGTATACACTCCTGCACTTCCTCATTCCACCACCAGATCTCCTTATCTCCTTTCCTTCCAGATGACACACCAAGTACTCTCCCACCTGTCTCTCTGATAACATTAGCTGTAGTTGTCCAGTCATTTGGGAGCACCTCCTGGCCACCCAGAGCCTGTCTCAACTCCTCCCTGAAAACCACACAACCTTCTTCCTTTTTCAGCTTCCACCACTTTGTCCTCCACTCTGCCTTTGTCCTCTTCGTCTTCCTCACCACCAGTCATCCTACACACCACCATCCTATGCTGTCTGGCTACACTCTCACCTACCACGACATTGCAGTCACTGATCTCCTTCAGATTACACCTTCTACACAAGATGTAGTCCACCTGTGTGGTCCGACCTCCACTCTTATAAGTCACCCTATGTTCCTGCTTCTTCTGGAAGAAAGTTTTCACTACAGCCATTTCCATCTTTT